GGAGCACAGGATTTACTCCTGCCCAATAACGGAGTAACATTTCTACTGAAGTGAGCCATTTAACAGAAACTTCATTAGGGAGAAAGGTCACCTCTCTAATTTCCTCTATAAATCCAATAGGACTACAGACAAACGTATTTCTGCATCTGAGAAATGGCATTATCACATTACTTGAATGTCACAGCGCCGTGCACTGTGCTGTCACATGAACACCGCGAGATGAGAGCAGAAAAATTTCCTTCCATCCAAGGCTGTGATTTTCCCCCTGTAGTAATAGTTAGTATCTTTTTTTCACACACACACACCCCCCTCCCATTTTACCTCATGATTTTCTATTGCTTGAGCTTAGTCACAGAACTGTGGTGGTTTTGTTTTGGAGTCTGAGGTGGGAAGAAGTTTCTTTTCTCCTCACTCCCCAGCTCAGGCACTACCATGGCGGTCGCAGAAGGGGCTTAGAGTCGGTGGCTGAATTTCTTTCGTCGAAAGGCACTCGCTTCCCTTCTCAAGATATTTAAAGCTTATTTCTAGTTAGGAGACACCTAGTTAGGGATGCTGTTTTAGCAGCGGCGTGTTGCAAAGGGATGCTACGGACAAATTTAGTGAAGAGCGAAGCCACTTCACGCCGTTCACCCTCATCAGGTTTTATTTAAAACATATCATGTTACGTTAGCCTAACAGTCCTCAAGCTCCAGCTTAACTGAACTGGCTGAATATCGACTTTCTGTTCGTTGTATTTTCTTTCTGCTCTCCTTATAAACGGGGAAAACTTGGATTCCACGCTCATGTATGTGGTTCTTCCTCACTCACATACCTATACAGCGTCCTTTCAGGAGGCCATTAGATGCCACCTTCATCTTGAAAAGAAGTTACTTTGTCCATAATGAGGTTGTGGTTGCAAAACTTTCAGGAAGGCAGATAAACTTCATTTACATTTCCACAGGTATGGCAAACTGAAGCATGAGGGCAGCAAAGTTTAAGGTGTTTCTGGTCCAGCCTGCTATGACAGGGCTTTCCCTGGTACAGCTGGGGGTGGGGTGTGTGTGCATATTTAAAGCACTTTTTCACAAAAACATTTTATTTTGCTTTTAAGCTGGGATAGCTGACCAAGTTACAGCCAAGGCTGTAGGGTACAGGCAGCGTGTGGGGGGGGTCTCACCTTAGCTCATACTTGATGTCAAACTGAGTCCACAGCCTTAACTGGGATGTTCTTCAGCATCTGGGGAGGGAACCCTCCCCTAAGCGTTAGAGAGCCCAGCAGCTGGGAGAGGAAGCACAGGCACCCCCCTCCCAAGCACTCGCTCCCAGCGTACCCTTCAGTGCCTGTTCCAAGCTCCTGTATGTCTCTATTCTAAGGAGTATCAAGGCTTTTAGTAGTAACAATGCAGAAGGTTGTCATAGAAATTAATTAGGCTTCTGGGAGACCTGCATAAGTGGTTTTTGATGCAGTAGAAGCAACCTTAGAATGGTTTCTTGTTAATATAAGAAAAGCGATAATGTTTCCTGCTAACTTGGCTACTAAACTAGCTTTGTCCTATACTAATTTACTTCTTAGCTTAAGATGTTTGTAAACTTAGCAGTAAGGATGTTTTCCTAGAAGAGCATTAGTAGACCAAAGTGTGTTAATATTTAATTAATAATGACATTAATATTTCTTTATCCATCATATGGGAATACAGAAGGATAAGGTTACCCCACAGAATAAAGCAGATTTTGCAGCATCTACTGCCAGACATGAACAGCTAGATTAGTTTGATGGGTTCAGGTAATGAAAGTATGTGTTGTGGGCTTGGGGGGGGGGTGTGTGTGTACCAAAAATAAGATCCTGGAGAATCAGTCTTTTTTGCTGTTGTTCCCACACTAACAAGGTCCTGTGTCTTGAAGTCACAGGGTATAGATTTTCTTTCCTGGAGCACTTAACTGTTGTTGCTACTATGGTTTAACAAATTACCATGTGTTTGGTTTGGTTTTTTTTTTTCTGTGCAAGCACACAATGTTTTCTATAACTTCAATGAGGCCATTAGAATGCCAAAACCAATGAAATCATATTTAATCAGGGAACGTAGCTTTGATGAAAGAACATTTAACTGTGGCATGGTCTTTCTTCTGCTGGGATGTACCCCACCGCAACAGTCTCCAACACTGTTGGAGAAGGAAGGGCAGGGATTGCAGAGAGCGGCTGGGCTCGGGTGCTCTCTTCAAGTAGCCTCTTCTGTTGCCACTGACAGAGGCAGAACACCGGGCTAGATGGACCGATGCTCCCACCAGTGTATCTGCCTGCTTCTCAGTCAGCTGTGCTGATTAACATCTGGGAGCTGAATTTGCCCGGGTCCCTCCCCTCTGCTGGCTGTAAGGGCAGGGAGAAAATTTGACAGAGTAGGAGGGCTGGTAGCATCAGGGATACAGAAAATGAGTAACGTACCCTGGGAATGCAGTTGGTACGTGGTACTTAAAAATGGTGTTTCCAGACATACAGAATGGCAATTCTGCAGCCAAACAGAGTGGGGGGACCCAGGTCACCAAGCTCAGGTCTGGCTCCTGCAGGCTGTGTCCCCCATATAGGTGGTGTGGGGCAGAGGGGTCAGGCTGCGAGCCACCAGACTCTTACCTGCTAGGAGGTTCTTCCAGCTCCTCTCATCCGGCTGCTTTGTCTGCTGTGGCTGTGACCTTCCAGTTTCAATTGGGGGAAGATGGTTGCTGTTCACATTCACAGAGGTGAAATTTCTGGCAGCCATCATTTGTCTTGCCAGCAGCCCAGGTTTTAATCAGCTTATTTGCTTTTATTAAGAACTGCTGTTCTCTTCATGTTACATCTAATGTATTATCAAGGGGGAATTTATGTGTTACCATTTGCACTGAGCTAATGCCCTACCACAGCTGAAAGGTGAGCTCCTACCCCAGGTGCTCCACCTGGGGCGGTCATCTCATCCTCTGCTGAGCTGATTCACCTAAATAACAGAAAAATTGCCCTGAACAGGTAGTAAACACAAAAAAGCACTTGACAAGAGCACAGTGGAGGAGCCAAGATGCCCTGGCAGGTATAAGAGGAGGCGCAAGGCGGGGCAGGACCTTTTCAGTGGCAGCTGCTATGGATCCCCTTGGCCCCAACCACAAAACATGACCTTGACATCACTTCTCGCTTGCTGGGCTCCACAGTGCTTCAGCAAAGCTTGGCTGAAGCAGGGGGGTGTTATTCCCACCCGTCTCCTGACAGGGAGGATAGAGCTTCATCTGAGCTGGGGGACCCGTCCCTTCAGTTTACTCAGTGGTAGAAACTTCTGAAGCTACATCAACCTGTGTGCCACTGGCTCCAGGGCTACTTCCTGGACAACTAGCTGCCACCATGCGTCACTAGGTTCAAACCCAGAGAGAAGTCATCCCTACCTATGTATGTAGGCACTCAGGCAGCTGTCAGAACAGATTACCCTTCATTTGTTACCTGCCCAGAAAGTACTTTTTCAGGCCTTCATGGAAGTCTGTCATGAATTTAAAAAAAAAAAAAAAAAAAAAGCCCAGAGAGTTCAATTATCATGTTTCCCTTTCCACTTGCCTGTGGAGAAGCAGCGACTGGGCTTTGAGAGTGAAGCCGGCAGAGACAGTTAACAGAAAAAAAACCCCTGCAGAGAAAATAGCGTGCATCCCCCACACGTACGATGGGCCACACAGCCATGAGGTCAACCTGCTCTGGTAAGCCGCTGCGGCCAGGTGACTACGGCAGCAAGTTCTCCTATTGACTCTCCAGCAAACTGTCCCAGAACGAGCCACCAGCCACATTCACAGGCCATCACAGGAGATCAGGTGAATGTGAAGGGTGAGTGTTTTTCAGGTCAGAAGCGTTCCATCACTTTTCTTCTATTTCTTCCTTTGCATTTAAAACACACCTTGGTTTGCATTTTGTTTGATATAGTAGCAACTGTTGTAAACCTGTTCTCACTTCTGCCTGACAGATTGTCCTTTCCCGGTGAAGAACTGGAGACTCACTGGGTTTGGAGACTCACCCGCTGCTGGGTGTACTGAGTCTGGCTGGGATGGAGTTAGCCCTCCCCCCAGCAGCCTGTAGGGTGCTGTGCTTTGGATTTGTGACTGGTGTTGATAACAGACCAGCGGGGTGGCTATTGCTAAACAGCACCTGCACAGCAGGGTCAAGGTCTTCTCCCTTTCTCATTCCTCCCCCACAGATGGGGGTGGGCAAGAAGCTGGGAGGGGACACAACTGGGACAGCTGGCCCCAGTGGGCCCAAGGGCTATTCCATACATAGGACATCATGGTCAGCAACAAAAGCTCAGGGAAAAGGAGGAGGAAGGGGCAGGGGGGGGCTTGTCTCTGGTACCAAGTAACCATCATGCATGCCGAGGCCCTGCTTTCCAGGAAGCAGCTAAACCTCTGCCTGCCACGGGGAAGCAGTGAGAATTAATTCCTTATTTTGCTTTGTTTTCACACACAGCTTTGGCTTTCCCTATTAAACCGATTTTATCTCGGACCGCCAGTTTGCCAGCTGCAGCCAACCCAGCACACTAGGTCAAGGGAAATCTGAGCTAAATGGGGTGGAACTACATGAATCAGACTCAATGGATAATATATCTTCTCTTCTTTTTAGCAAAATACATTGGGTGTGCCTTTAGAAAAACACTAAATTGAATATGTAATGCAGACTATAAACACTATAGCAAGCAGTCACTCAGAGAGGGCTCTGGGTTAGAGATGAGACAGCTCAACCATTCAGAGCACTTCACTCTTCAGCACTGTACCATATGTTTCTTGGTTTTAATTGTTTTTACCTCCTTTAAATAATGAGTCTAAGAGGTGTCTTTAATTTGTTTTTATTCTTAGGTCAAACAATACCATCACTGAATTGAAGAACGAGGTTACCGGTTGAAATACAAGTGCGGTGTGAGACAAATATGGAAGGTAACATTTTGCAAATAAATTAATACAGAATAATTGTCTTTGCATAGTTCAGAAGTGAAAAGTAGGAGGCAGCAGTGCGCACGTGCTGTGTACTGACACACACCACCACGAAAACCCAAGTGCCTAGATGGACTCTTGCAGCTGCAAATAAAACAAACCAAACCAAAAATACCCCAAATCTCAGAGAGCACTAACTATTAAAAAACAGGCAGAAAGGGAACTAATGAGCTTTTTTTTTTGTTTTTTTTTTAAACCAGACCATGCCGCAGAAGGAGTGTTTTCTCTACAGACAGAGATGCTTCTGCAGAAGGAGTGTTTTCTCTACAGACAGAGATGCTTTTAGATAATCTGCCTTGGCATCCCATAGCCTGTCATACCCGACTGTGATGCTCCTTTGTTGCTGCCCATCTGAAGGCCTATTACGTTCTGTCCCTGACGAAGCTGCTCTTCTGAAAATCCTCGTCGATTCTGCTGTGCTTTCCTGTCCAGATACACACACACACAAAAAAAAGCAACATACAGACATACCGTCATTGTGTGTATGCCCAGAGTGGGGATCATGAAAAGCAATCTGAAATTGGCTCATGGTAACAGATGTTCCCCCTGCAATGCAATATTTCATCTGCACCATCCCATGGGCTGGACAATGCTGGCTGGGCTAATTGCTTTCCTGCAGTTAGAAGTAATGCTCTGGTCAAACCTCCAACGCTTCAGACTTCCACTGTAGCACTTATTCAAGAACCTCAAGGGACTCCCCCAGCAGCTGTGACAGGTAAAATATTTACGTAGTGCTGTATATAACACTCATGGTAGGATTAATTTGTGTGAAGCCCTACAGCCCTTAAAAGCTGTAGTGCGCGGGATCTGATCAATGAGACACTTACCTGTGCTCTCATACAAGTAGATACCCTTCAAGAGCAACAGTACAAATTGATATCATTTAACTCAGTGGAGTAAGAGCTGAATGTACCCGGAGAAACAACGGGACAGAGAAGCGACTTGCTCATTTTCGCAGAGCGGCTGATGGTTGCCCACAGGACAGAACAATGGCCCTGTTGCCATTTCCAGATCTCTCTCCTCTAAGCAATAGACTTTGCCCTTTGCACCTGTGTCTTAACTGTATGGCAGTCCTTTATCTTCTGTCAAAACATACTGACCACTTTTGTTCGGTGTCCCTCATCTCAAAAGCCCTTTGGATCAATCAACCTTTGTTGGTGTTTAAAAGGAGCCTCTTTTCCCTGAAAATAGCACTGGGGGCAAAAGTGGCTGCCAAGAAGAAGCACAAAAGTCTGTAGTCTGCTGCCTTGCAAGACACATTCACCTTGGATTAATCTTTCTTTTATACAAAATGGGGAAAACAAGTCATTTACCAGGGAGAAGGATCAGTCTGTTGCTGCCAAATAAGCAGTATGAATCCGCAGAGCCCCAGGCTGAGGGAGGCTTCCAACCTACCAGACTCTACCTCCCACCCAGGTACACTCTCTTTCTCCCTGCTGTGTCTGTCTGTCCCGGGATCAGGCTATTTGTTACAATTCCTCGTTTCTCCCCACCCCACCACTAGATGAGAATGCTAGACTAGGTGCCTGCTGCGATTAAAAAACATCAACACGACCCTCTCGGTGAGGGTCTGATCCTGTACCATGCTGAGCACCCTGGCTTGAGTCCAAAAACACACTTAACTTCTTTGCTAAGCTAGGGTGTTCAGGACATCGTGGGAGGAGAACCCATGTCAGCATGAAAGAGCCCAGCAAAGCAAAAAGGTGAGAAGGATCCAGAGGAAACCAGTACCGACCTGTCATTTTTCAGAATGGGTCTCCGATGTTACTGTACAGGGCTTATAGAAGCCATCACAGGCTCTCGGGCCCCACAGCTCTCGCCAGAAAGCATGCTGGTTTGGGGGGAGGCATGCAGAACTGCGGGCGCCTCAGAAAGCAACCCCCCCTGACTGCTGCTTAATTTCTTTTCCAGAGTACTTACATGGGCACCGACCTACTGCCAGGATCTCCACGAGAGGATGTTTTTAGAACTACTCCTATTACCTAATTGAGTCTCAGGTTCACTGTGTCTGCCTTTATTTTAATTAAAATCCCAGGAACACATTCTTTTCCACCACCCCCCCCCTCTTTCCCCCTAGGATTTTCAGCTGTGTTGTGGAATAATTCCAGAGAAAGTTGAAAAGTAACTCTGAACGGGAAAAAAAACCCTAAGAACTGCAATGAAAAAATAAAAAGAGAGACTAAAGGGAAGCCTGGATATGCTAATAAAAGTTGGTTACACATACAGTGTGGATCATATAGTGTTATTTTTAGCATCATAAGCACCGCTTTTTGTATACGATGGTCTTACAGATAACAACATGTACTTATGTTTTGCTTTTAGGTTGGTGTAAATAGCCTTAACTGAGACTGTAGAAAAAGAGGTGAGGGCAAATCTATTCCCCTCAGCGTCCCACACTATGTCAAGTTCTGTTTGGCCTCTCTGCCATCACCCGGCATCACCCTTATGGCAAACTGAGCCCACCGGATCCGTTAACTTTTTGTGCCAGCTTTGCACCGGTGCTTGTGGTTGCCAGACCAGAAGATAACAAACAGCCACGGCTCCACGAACACCTCGCTAGGGCACGCAAGGAAGGGGGCATCAGGCCTGGTGGGGCTGGCTACGCGAGACACTGGCAATGGAAAGTTAAACGGCTTAGCTCAAGTGTGGGAGTATCTTAATCACTGTAGATCCCTGCACGGATACTCTTATTCCATTTAATCTTGACTTCTTTCAATTTAAGTAAAGGCGATTAAGAATCAGCCTGAAAGCCCTGACTCATGACTAACGCTGGGTGGAAGTGAGGGGGCTTGATCTGCCTGAACGGATGGGTAAGCTACTCAGAAAACAGATCCTGAATCTGCCATATGTTATTTCCTTGTAGAAATAACATTGGTATTCCTCAAGGCAGTGGCTATTAAATGGTATTTCAGGGGCTGAAATAGATATGGATTGGTTACCCAAGCAGTACGGGCAGGACAGACAGCCAGGGGAGAAGGGAGGTGATCACATCTTCATTTATGCCAATGAAAACTATTCCCACCCACAATTAAGAGTCCAGATGAAAATTAATTTTTCCATGTAGGACTTTGTTTTAGTTACATAAAACAAATAAGCCTGTCTGGGTCATAGTGATTTCATGTCTGGTTTATATTAAAGCTTGTAATTGGATTTGAATTTTAAACCCAATTATATTCAATAAATACAAATCTCTTTGTGGACTGTATTAAGTTAATTTAAACTAATTTTGTATGAAGAAAGCATAGGAGTTTGCACTCACCTAAAATTCAGGTCTCCCTTAACCTCGGTTAAACCAGCTCAAGGTTTAAGACAAACCAAGTGAAGTTTGCTTTGCTTTTGCTGAGCCTCACCTAGACAGCAGAGAATTCAAGGAAACCAAAGACAAGCAGGCAGCACTCTTTTTGCTAACACGCCTCAGACATTTCGGCACAAGAAATACTCTTGAATGGCAGAATCTCATGTCAATAATATGCCTGTGGGGCAGGAGGGCTAATGGCAGGAGGATTTCCTTTTCTTCCTGTCCCCGTTTCTCAGCTTCCCTAGCCAAAACAAATGGAGTTTTAGAGCAAACAAATGGCTTTGCCAAGACAGCGAATTCTTCACAGATAAGTGGTACTCCTCAAGAAAAAAGATGACCAGGAAATTAAATCATTTTTTGTTTGATGAAAACTGGAAAGAGGCTTCATGCTTTCTCTTTGTTCGGTAACAGGGTCACTCCATGGGGGTTTGCAGACATCCACGACAGCCTTGTCTTCATTAGTCGTTCGGTCTGTTATCTGATGTGAGGCAAAAAGCCCACTTTTCCTGCCAGCTACCCCTAGGACACACATATCTGCATGGCTGCTGCTATTTTTGTTCCCTTTTCTTGGTAAACGGATATAGAGGATTAGCTGAAGCTGCTAAATAGATGAATGCCATGAAAACCAGCGGCCGAATTTCCCAAGTATCATTACACTCCTTCCAGAGAATAAGAGTCAGGGATAATGTCAATGGACAAGAAAATTATGTCTCTTCTTCAGAAACTGGCATGGGCCCCTTGTGCAGCAAGATGGAGATGCTACGAAGGTGCCTGGAGCAGAATGCTGCATCCCTCCCTCTGTGCACCACCACAAGCCAACACCCAGTAGGGTCCTCCCCATGCGTGCACACACACATCCACACCAACACAGCCTGTAACAGCCTCGTCCGAAAGGGGCGCCTCCGGGAGGAAAACAGAGCTGGAGCCACAGGCAATGTGCTCCTTAGTGCTGGTACCAGTAGTGTTGTCCCAGCTCCAGGGCTGGAGGGACGCATAAGATGGCGTGACGGGGCTACATGAGAAAAGGCTGCGCGGCTCAGCTCCCACAGGGCTGCTCCCCAGCAGCCCTGGTGGCGCTTTAGGTTGACAAGGTATGCTAAGACGTGGGACTAGCAGCGATGCTGATAAAGTTGGGAACCGGTGAAGGGTAGAAAATGTTGCTGCCTGGTTGTGTCTTTGCTTCCCTCCTCTAGACTCCAGAGAGAAAAAACTCTCCATTACAAGGAAACTTTGGAGAGATTCTTCCCTTCTTTTCCCGATAAATTTCCTGAAAGCCTAAAGGCAGACAATATTATCGGCTTCCCGGGGAAGACAGCTCTGAGCAGCTGTGCTTTGGACTTTACCTGTGAAACCAGGATGGATCCCCTTTGTAGCAGCCGTCATCCTTGGTGACTGCCAAACTGCCTAGAGCCATTAAGGTTCTCTGCACTGCTGCCATGTCCTTCCCTAGAAAGCCAAACAGTGAAATTAATATGAGAAATGCTTGCACAACAAAGAGTTGGCACACTGATAAACACTTATCCAGTGTATTAACCAACTCCCTCAGCTCCCTTGAAAAAGTGCATTAATAGCATTATAAATGCTATTTTACCACTGCTGAAATGGAGGTACTGACACGCAAGAGCTTATTAAAAGTCATCGAGGGACAGTGTTAAAGCGAAACTTAACAATTCAGACATTTCCAGGTTTCCAGGCCTCTGGCTATTTTAATGCCTTCCCCCATGCTATTTTAAGTCCTTCTAGATAATCCTTTTGGCAAAATTTTCTCCTAAGAAGAGATCACTTCTGTGTACAAAACCCAGTAATATACTCAGCAAAACGTGGCTGAAGGAGAGCAGTGTGGTAAGTAATTGTGCTGTGTCTCAGTATCTTCACCTGTAAACTGGTAAGACTGTTCCCACCATTTAACCCCGGGCGAGTCCAGACAGTCCCTGTGCTAACAGAGCTCATGGCAGTCCTGGAGAGGTCCTGTGTGGATAACTCGCATCAGTCCTTCCCAGTTTACCCATCAAATCACCTCCCGGATCCTTCCTACAGGCTTTCTTTCTCAGGCTGCCAAAAATCAATGCTCTGCAATTTCATGCCTTCAGTTCCTGCCACCCAGTCCACTATTCTTCCACTTTCTCCCTCCCTACGTTATCTCAGTTCCTTCCTCATTGCAAAAAGTCAGGGCTCATCTCATCTTTAGCCAAGTAAAAGTTACATATCTGGTCATCACTAGTTCTTTAGGTTCCCTCCATAAACCACAGCGAGAGAGAAGCTTCTCAGGGGATAATTTATCCCATCTGTATTGAGAAGGGTAAACTTGCCTACCACTTGCTTAGAGGCGCACCTTCCACCCAGCTGAAAATTCACCAGCTTTCCAAGAAGGTACCTTACACCTTTGAAATAAAAGACTCGTTTTCAAGAGAGGTGAAAACCAAAAAGGATAATAAATCAATTTTCCTTTTTGGTCAACACCTTTTGTTGATGCCTCCAGTGAATTAAAACAAATAAAAAAAGCCACAGAAACTTTAAAAAATTTAAGATTACTCCTTTTTTCTTAGTTCTTCCTCTGCACTTTTTCACTTGGTGTAAAAAGGGCAAAGAACATAAAATTTCAGTGTCAGACAGACTCTAACTCATTACCCAATCCAGACGTGGTAACTTTTGGAAAACTAGCAAAAATGAATTGCAGCATGTATTTCCAGTTGTGTGAGGCAGTAAGTTGTTGCAAACCTGCCTTTTGCCTCTCTCTCCTTCTGAAATCCTTCCGTAAGTGTTTCTATGACTCCCCTTCCCTTTCTTCCTGTTCCAGTTCTTTCTCTTTCCTAAAACAATTTATCTAAGTTAACAGATCTGATTTTGACTGTAAGTTCTTCACATGGGAAAATAAGTAATTCATAAAAACAGGAGACACTAGAGACATGATGATGAGAACAGATTTCAGAAATACCTCCGGTGGACCAATACTAATGAAAATCACTGTAGACCAGCTGAGTGTAGAGGGAAGCGAGCATTGCACATTCTGTGTTTATGCTATGCATCTCCCTGGCTATAGGTAGATGAAGTTCGGGGCTTTGGCACATATAAACCTAAATGCGTAACACACTGTCCGAGGTGACGAAGACACCCAAAAGCTGAAAACACCCAGCAGTTTCCAACCGTGGCTGTCATACGGCCTATTAAAGTTTACAGCAAACCTATCCGCAGGGGACCATTTGCTCAGAAAACAAATTGTCAGCCACCCAGAGTCCTCGTTTTACTGTATTTTTTTTTTTTTTTAAACACAAACTGCATCAGACGGGGTCCTTCCTTAAGGCAGCTGAAGAGCCGACATCCCCCACGTGCACATACGCAGGGGCGCGCGGAAGACGCGCAAGGAGCTCCCCGGAGCAGCAGATGCACCATATGCTGTAACAGATGCCCCGTACAGCGTCCTTGGGGTGCCTCCCCATATAACGAGGCGTGCGGTGGCTGACTGGGATGAAGAGGGATGCAAAAAAGGATTTGAAAATGAATGAGCTGAATAATGACGGCAAGCGCAGGAAAAAAAAAAATAGAAAAAAAGGAAAAAAAAGAAACAAAAGGCGGGTAAGCAAAATAGCAAAATATGATCAGCCTCGCAGAGCCATCTGGCAGCGTGTGTGTGTCCCCCCCCCCCATGCTCTGCACTCGGCTCTGCTTTATTTGTCAGTGGCGAGTGGGAGACGCCACAGGGGAAAAACAGACCGGGTGGGAGCTGAGCAACACGCAAGAAAACAAAGCTACAGCCTGGGCCCTGCTTTGCAGAGCCTCCTTGATAGATACGAGGGGTGCCGCAGGTGAGGGGAGACCCCAAATCCCTGTGGTCTTGTGACATTTGACCTCTTCCAGCAAAGGATACACTGGAACAAGCTGCCCAGGGGGGTTGCAGAGTCTCCTTCTTTGGAGATATTGAAAACCCACCTGGACGGTGTCCTCTCCAACCTGCTCTAGGTGAACCTGCTTTAGCAGGAGGGTTGGACTGGATGATCTCCCGAGGTCCCTTCCAACCCTTGCCATTCTGTGATTCTGTGATACAAGGGGCTCAGGCGGTCAGCAAAAAAAAGGGCTGTGAAAAATTTTAAATCTCCACCGAGAAAGTCACCTAAGACCGCCATCCCGCCAACAGAAGGGATCATGTGTGTCCTCTGAAGCCACGCTTGACTCGGGCGTTGCAGAAAATTGCGGTCAGGGCCCTTCCCTCAGCCCCAGTACTTGCTCATCGACAGCCACGTGGGCTGCCTCCCCGGCCCCAGCCTCCCCGCATCATGCCGCAAGGGACCCACACCGACGGCATTTCTTCTGCACCGTCAGTGTCCTCTGCAGCGTGCTCTGAATAGCACAGCCCCGTAATGGATCTTGGCACTGCCCTGTACAAGGAGGAAGGGCCCTCTGCTCACTTCTTATGCTAAGCCTGTCTCTTTGGGGGAAACCTAGCTGGAAGGCCTTCTTCTCCAGGTCCAGAAAGGGGAAGGTTCAGACCCAAAGATACAGAACTGCTCTGCACAGCACTCCTGAAATGCTGTTTTGCAAAGGCTGAACAAGTACCCAGAAGGTACAGTTGCCTCTTGCCTGTTTGAAAAACATACCGGGGATGTATCTGTAAAAAAACAGCAAACATAATATCCTGGGCATGGATTAGGGAAAGCTGCTCAGCACAGTACATTTATGTAAGAAAGAACCAAAAGAGAGGTGGTATTTCCCCTGGACCAAGAAGTCACAGAGATGAAGAAAAACGCACCAGATGGACTCTGTGAGTTTGAAACAGCCAACAGCAGATTGCATCCTACAACATTTTCATTAATCGTTACTAAGAATTTCAAAGCAAAAGCTCTCAGAAAACAATTAGCGCCAGAGAAAAGCTGGTTTTCAGTCACATGTATTTTTCTTTCCCTTCCATCTCCTCTCTTTCTAAAGAGGTTATGGCCTGAAGTGTAGGAGCGCTGTAATTATGAACTAGTGAAAAAGAGGCTGTCCCCTCTGTCCAGCTAATGCATCCAGGTTCAGGAGATTCAGCCCCGAAGCAGCACAGATGCTAGAGGTCAGAGTTAAGGGTAGGCACAAAAAGCTTGCAGTGACTCACTGCTGGAGAGACATGCTGTTTCATCTCGGCACAGAAATGAGCAGCAGCAGGAGGGATGAAAAGGGAGTGGGAAAGTGAGGAGACACAGATTAGTTTTGGGAAGTCCTAAAATAACAGTGGAGAAAAGCCTTGTGTGCCTCCCTCCCAGGCTGTGAGTTCTGTTTTGACTTCCTCTCCTCTGGAAGTTACTAGCTTATTTCCTTACATCTGTTGAGAAAAGGTGATGAGCGAAAGGAAGAGAAATGAGGAGAGAGCCACCATCATTAGGAGCTTTTTGTCTTCAAAGCAAGTCCTTTTCATCATAAGGATCAATGTACCATACCTTCATTTGCATGGTGTGAAGCCATGATGAGATGCAAAAGACCACAAAGAACAGCAGCTAAAATGAGCTATGATCATCCCTTACAAGATAGATGGAGCTTCTCTTCCAGCAGCCTGCTAGGCTGGGGGGTGCACGAAGTTTCTCTCCCACAGCCTGGCTGGGTTGGGGGGGGGGGGGAGGGCGTTCCTCCAGGGAAGTGAAAATCCCTTCGTTTAAAGCATTTAAAGGTAGATTGGGTGAAACACTGAAGACTGAACTGGAAAAAAACATCCTGCCCTTGCGCCCAAAGGTAGGTTTTGCCAAGCAAATCTGGCATCCTGAGAACATCACAGATCCCAGGAACTCCAGCTGTCAGTATATCCCTCCCTTCTAACCCACTCACAAAGAGCTTCTCAATCTTTCATTCCCCAAACTGTCCTTCAGAGGAGTGATCTCTTCCACTATCCCAACAGCCTGTGAATATTAGACCCCACTTTTTTTGCTCCATGTGTGTTCCTACACAAACCGGCTTTCTCAACGGCTTGCCTTCCTCTTCCCACTGTTTCATGGGCTCTCAGCAGATTTTTGACCCTTTCAAGTACCCTACAGCTGTCCTTGTTTTGAGCCCTCGCACAAAGCGTCTCGCACCACCTTGTCCAGGGAGATGCAGGATATACAGCGTATTTGGTTAGAGCGCCAGGAAGAGATGCATCGCCACAGGAGCGGGCAAAACCAGCCATACGAATGCGCAAATGACTCAGCTTTTCAGGAACCAGAACACTCCGAGTATGGGACGGAGATAGCCTTCACCTGGGTTACTGCAAAACCTCAGGGGCACTCTGAAATTTTTTGCTGTTGCCATAGTGACCTCTAATAAGACTGCATCCTTAGAGAGATGCTCAGCCAACATGGTGTTAACAGTGAGTTTTGCTTCTCGCTAGTCATAAACGAGCCCTCATAAGCTCCACAGAGGCATATATGCTCCTGGGAATGTATTTTATAGCTCTAATTTAAGCTTTGCTTATAATTCGAAAACTACAATAAAATCTCATCCACAGAAAAATAAGGGGTTTCCATATTTGCTATTAGAAGCTATTTACTTGGAAATAACTAGCAGACAGAACGTTTGTTCTATTAGGTCTGTGGATTTCTATCAAAACGATGGGCTGTTGGATAACACATGAGCTTGGAAAGGCTCCGTTATGCCCTCAGGGCAATATAAATCCCTCAGAGGAGATAATGCACCATCGGAAGAACATGGTAATGAGGTAAGGCAAACAGAAACAAAAGATAATTACATTAGAGAATATGCCTTAGACAAAATGCACCATTATAACACATCAAAGCAAAGTAAAATGAAGACTGCAAGCTGACTTCCAGTTTATTATTTTTACCTTCCCATAAATCCACTGTCTGGAAAATATCTGTTGTTCTTACGCCGTAGATTTCAGCAGCTTTTAAGAACTGAGAAATTTGTTCCATCTGCTTGAAAGCCATTTTTGATTCAGAGATCTTTGCAATGGGCTCATTTCCCTTTGGATGTAAACTGTTTATTAACTTGCATAACAGCTGAGAGATAAATACAGAAACAAAATTAGAAAGCTGTCACCAAACTAGAAGACAATTTCTGCACATGAAATGACGCTGAGAAATGCTTTTGACCTGGCCAGATTCTGTCAGGGACATAATTTCTTCGATTAAAAACAAAAAAAGTGAATTGGTAATAATCAAAGTATATTAGAAATGCATTAAAGCTTTCATTAACTGATGGCAATAGCCTGACCATATAAATCCTAATCTGCTAGAAACAACAAAGCAATCACTGGTGAAGGTTATGTAACAACTGACAGAGAAGAAACCACATGCCCGAGCCAAAAAAATAAGCAATGTCAATTGAAATATTGTTAAAGTCACTTTGGCAGAGATTCAACGATTAGCGTATTCTTACAGCCCACTGCAAACAGCAGCATCTGCCTGTTGTTCAATAAACCAATGGAATACAACATTTCAGCTACAGAATTTTTTCCCAAGAAGAAAACAGTTATGACACAATCCAATCCTTCAGATTTTCTGTATCTCTTCACCTTTCCCTGTTAACACTGATTATGTCTTAAAGAGAAAAGTATGCATCTGATTTTCAAACAGATCTCATTTAACTGTATGAGAAAAGGTGCCGAAGGAATGAGTCATACTCATATATATATATATAACATGCATGACTCATAAGAATCATAAGTACTGTGCTAATCTCAGCACACCAGTAGAATAATTACCTTCTGAGATTAAGATTCCTGGTCAAAAGGAAATAAATCAGATGCTAAGGTATCTATTTATGTGCTGGCCATGAGCTCTGACCAGTTTAGCTAGATGGAGACAGCAAATAAGGGCACTGTGGATATAAACCCATGCGAGTACATAATTGGACAAAACACTTACCGTCCCATCCATCAACCAGGTCTGAAAATGTTGCCTTCCAGGAGGAGGGTGCTCTATCTGTTCTCCACACTGTACAATAATCCAGTTCACCAGCCTGGACTCTAATTCCGGGTCATATTTCTGTTCGATCTTTTCCTGAACTTCTCGGCTTAAGCCATAGCTTGGTCCTCTGTTAGCCATCTCTGGAACCAAAGCAGAACTTACTCAGTGGGTAGAGTCCTGATCTGCAGCTTTGAAGCACGCACCGGAAAAATCAAAGAATAAAAGAGTGAGCAGCCTGCCCTATACGTTAGACAGTCGAACAGATGTTCATCAACACTGAAAGTAACTGTATGGCACCGGTTATAGCTGTTCTGCAAAACAGGGGAGGGATCAACGAGGGAATATCCTTTTCCAAAAGCACGAATCGGCTACAACGTGTTTTAAAAGCTTACAGAAAATAACATTAGAAAAGGTCTGGTTTTCTTGACCGTTGTGCTTGTAACATACAATTTGAGACTTGGGTTCCCTCTTACTGAATGACTGTATATAGCTTTTTTGGAGCATGGTTTAGTAGGCATGGTGGTGGTGGGTTGACGGTTGGACTCGATAATCTTGGAGGTCTTTTCCAACCTTAATGATTCTATGATTCTGTGTGTTGTTAATACCTTTCATGTGCTGTGCAGCCATCTCAGCAGTAGATGGTTTCCTCTCTGTGTTTGGTATATACAGTTTGCAAGGCAATCAGAGTTTCTGAATTAAAAAAAAAAAAAAAAACAAAAACAACAAACCACAAACCCCCCAAAAAAACAAAACAGAAGGAGACAGAAATTCCCCCTGCCCAACCACAAAAACAGAAGAAAAGCAAGATTTAAAACAGAGTAGGTTTTAGAGAGAGGCTTCTGCTATGTTTACAGAGAATACAATAGAGTTCTCAGATCAATATTACAGCTGCCTGCAAATCCAAAAGCACTTTAAAATTGCCTACCTAATACTTGCTAAGAAGAAGGTTGTACATGGGAGCTCAAGCAATCCGATTAAAGATGCAGTCAGGGTCTTCCTCAGCAGAGACGCAGGGATGGATATCCGAGATCAGCAGACTGAAAAGCCTAGATGAATTTAAGAGACGAAGGCTGCCACAATGCCCTGCTGCTGCTGCAGCATCGTGGTTTCAAGAACAGTGTATTGATTTGATTTTCCTCACATATGAGGAGGGTCAAAGCAGGGGCGTTGCTAAGAGCCATTAAAGAGGCCTGCCTACTCAGTCACAGCCTGGGGATCCTGTTTATCTCGCCCATCTGCAGTCTGTTTTCGTGCAGGTTTCCTCAGCCTTGCGCTGTTCACCCTACAGGCTCGGTTTTACTCCACCTAGTCTGCATCAACCCAAACTGCACCAAGCACCCCAGTGCTAGATAGCTAGAAATACAAACAGAGGGACTTCGCCAGACTTCACTCGGTTAAAAGAAGGCAACAGAAATTACTAGGCAACTCGTTTCTTTTTAATGATGAAGCAGAAGCAAAACCTTCTCCTCCCTGTTCTGCATCACAATGCTAACAGGCTTAGAGCGTGAAAAATAATTTCTGTTCTTCCCTCTTCAAGTGCTGATAAAAAGTTTGAACAAGGGGACAACAGGATGAAAAGTCAAGGAAGAGAAGGCAGTTAACAGAATATTATTATCGCCCAATCATTAGTACATATTACCAAACAGTGCAATAGTGGCCTGAGAAAACAAACTTGCATCACTAAAAACAAGGGGAAATCACCAAAAACTAGCAAACCTACTACAAAGCACAAGGATCATATTTTCTGCTGGCATGAGTCAGCATACCTCCAGTGATAGCAGGGGAGCTATGCCCATGTATGGTAGTTTAAATTTTGATTATACCACCGCAGCGGTGAGAGGGGAGAGAAGGGAAGTTAAGACAAGAGACTTTTCTTCTGGTCCGATTTGTACAGATTTATCCTTTATGGGATAAAATAATTTTGCTCCTCTTAAGTTGCACCAGACTTTGTCAAATGTCTTTCATCAGTGCTGTAGTATCCACCCTGCTATGAAATAGTTCCCTTTTGGCAAATGATTCATGTTCAGCTTGATATGAAAGGTTGATAAACCTGAAGTGGATTCACAATCAGCTTCGCCAACAAAAGTCCTTCTGCTGCATATAAAAGAAAATAAAAGGGGGAAAGAATACAGCTCCTTGTATATCTCTCTCCTAATGGTCTCCTCATCCATTACTTTCTCATTTTAAGACCATGAATTCTCAGATTTATATTGCTTTGGATGCTGCTGGGCTTCAGCAGACTCAAGAGATGAAAAATTTAACAGATGACCTAATTCATTGTTGTCCTCCACAGGCATTTCATTTAGTGCTTTCTCTTCTCTGCACTGGTAGCTTTAAAGGCCGATGAAATATTTGATTACCTAACTCAGAGCATGCTACGTGACAGGGCCACCACTCGAGCACTTTCCGTCCCAGCGAACATGCTGCTGAAGGCACAGCAAACGCGCAGGAACCAAGACTGCAGACCAAGCCTGGAGATCAGAGGAGGAGTAAACTGCAGCTGCAACAGTAAAAGACAGCGCATGAATTTGACGTCCTTCCCATTCAAGCAACTGTTAAGGGCCGGGCCTTACACTCTTTGGCCAGTCCCACAAAGCATAAGCAGCTTTATTTTGCGCTTTCAGATCTTTTTGTGTTCTTCTGTTTAGAAGGGAGCTACCAAGGTTGCTTGGCTGTGTCTGGTCACACCAGAGTGATCAGCGCTCACTGGTAATGAGATTTCATGAAAGCCACCCACCTTTGCATCAGCCTCTGGCCCGGTTTCCTAACCTGGGGGCAGGGATGGGTAATTCAACTCTCCTAAGCTGCAGAGCAGAGACCTCCCCCTTCACAGATGTTGGCTATGTGACCTCTTCTCCAGGGACCATTCCATACTGTGAAAGCTGAAAAGCAAGCTTGTTCATCAATATCAATTTTTAATAAGGCTTTGAAAACCAGTAAAGCTGCAAAAGATTGGAAAAATGCCAGCCCCCCCCCCAATATTTCCAAAGTATGAGTTATCAAATCATAAGCCTGCTTCTGTGCCATCAATCCTGGGAAAAACAATGGAATTAATTTTTTTTTTTTAAAGTGATAGTGTTGATGCAATTTACTAAAAGCTCTGTAATACATTAGAGTTGGCTACTGCACGACACGTTGATTAGGGAGCAAAACTGATTCCGAAACAACATGACACATTAATGAGATTAAGGCTGCCTAACTAGTAGGTCCTATATGACCGTAACGGAAAAATCATTAATGACTGTGTACATTTTCATTCAGTTTGTACAAGAATGTGTTCCCTGGCCCAAGCTATCTAATATGTTATTAAAAGTCACAAAAAAAAGCCCAGACTCCTAAGAAGGTCCCAGCTCATGCAAGCTGTGATGAGCAAACAACAAAGATAAACTCCTTGAAAGCAGTCTACCTGGAAGCAGGCAAAAAGGCATCTCTCTGCAGCCAAAGTCTAGCCATCATCAGAAAAGTGCTTTTCAGAACGTAGCACTCTGTCCTATGAAAAAGCAAATGTTAAAAAAAAAGAAAACGCAGAGGGTGATGGAAGACAAGCAGGTGGGCACAGACGCTGGGTAAGACACTGTGACCAAAGGGCTTGGCTGAATAAAACGTGGGAGGTGCAACAGCAATGGGAATGTCATACCCAGTACTGACAATCACTCTCCAGAAAAAGGGGTGGAAGAATGAAGTAAATTCAAATAGTCACTCCAGTTAACGAGAGGACTGAAAATTAGAGCCTTTACAGTAATCACTTCAGAAGGAATACCTGTTTAGCTCACCAAAACCAGAAGCTGAGAAGTGGCAAGTACATGTGGCTACAGAGCAAAGAACTGAAGGAACTCAAGTTCCTTCTGTTGGACACAGGCATATTAAAGCCTGGTGGCTTAGAAATGCGATGTGGAAGAAAGGGGCCTGTTTTCAGCAGCAAAGGTACTACCATTAGAACACTTCACCTACTGTTTCCAATGGGTTTTGTCCTCTTTTTTTTGGTAACACAAGATTGGAACTTACGACTAAAAATAGAGACAAGGCTTGAATACTTAAAGTAAGATTTCATGCCTGTAAGCGCTATGACTCTCCTTACGCTTTCAGATAACCACAGTATTAGCGTATAAATTTAAAAATTTTTGTAAATCTACAAACAAATGCTGCCAACAACAACAGAACTGACATTAATTAGCTCACTACCCACGTTTAGATCCAGGGTAACTTGATAGCTTTCAATGTCTTCCAACTGGAACACAGAGGGAAAAGTAAAACTTATCATCCTGCTATGGAGCAACCCTTAACCTTTGCTAGACACGCTGTTTGGCAATTCACTCCTTAGAAAGAGGCTGGTATTTCACCCATCCCAAAGCACTGTCTTTCAAAGTATGTGGGGATAATTCCTATCAGACAAAGCTATCCAGCAATTAGGATAACTGGGAAGTTCAGGCTCCATTTCCCAGGTCTGCCACTGTGCAATAGGGGACCTTTCATAACCAAGTTGAAAAAATAAAAATCAAGACATCTTCCAAAGCTGTAAACAGCTTACAGCACCTCCCTTCACAAGGAAACTTCTGAAGGGCTGCTGAAAGATGCTCCCTGCATATACGCCCATGTCACGATGCCACGTTTTCTAGAGTTGCAGAGAGGATGCTAAGGTTCAATACAAGATCAGTGCAAGTACAGGGCCTCTTCCAGGGAGCTGCAAGGCCAGGTAAGTGCTCTGCAGACCCTTGGCTTTATCCATGGCCTTGCTTTGTCATAAGATACCTGGAGATGTTCTACACAAGAGAACTAGTCAGACTAGGGGGAAAAAAGAAGCTATTGGAATATTGCCATCTTTTTAACTGTGCAAACTGGGTGGCAGAGATATCAGAACCGGGGGACAACATTAATTTTAAAAATTCTAACTTCCCCATTAATCTGAAATCTAAAATCGAGAGAGCCTCGAAGGCAAAAAGTGGTAACTCAAGCAAGTATCTTCTCTTTCACCTGCAAAAGGGTTTCTTTGCCAGCTCTGAAGATGTTAAGCCCCAAGCAAGTGCATAGTTTGAACACCTCAAATCTGGGATTAAAAGCAAAGTAATTCAGGAAGGAAGGACCTTCCTGTTTGTGGGACAGAACAGAATGCACTGACACTCCGGTCTGCAGAACAAGGCAGCTCCTCAGGCTGCCATGACCAGTAGTGTTTCTGGGATTTGGAAGTCATTGACCACCTTCCAGGCAGCTTGCCAGCAGAAACAGCTACCACTTACCACTGGAAACCATCTCCTGCGGATACAATTGCCAGCATTCCTCATCTTCAAGATGACCTTGGAGATAAATTGTGTGTTTTAATTCTCAGGACCTTTTAAGTCTCGTGCTGGATTTACAGACTCCTTGAAAGAAAACCAACACATCTCATTATATCAATATTCTATCTGTCCCCAACAAAAACAGTACCTTCCGAGAACCACCTTGGTTTGAAAACCATGCTTTACAATACACATTTACCAGAAGAACAGAAGAAACATGTTTATTTCACTGAAACATAGGTCAAAACAGACAGCAAGATTTACAAACAAACAAAAAAGAGCAAATCGCCTAACTAAAAAAAAAAAAAAAAATTTCTTCATATGAGTAGGGTTTAGCTTTGCTGCCAGGGACTTTTTCAAGAGTTACCGTCCTAAGGACTAGCACACTCTGGCACACTTCCTGCCAGCAAACCATATTCAATACAGAAACAGAGCAGAGGATTCTCCCCAGGCCCAGAGCTGATCCCAGGCAGCCCGTGTCCTTCAGGGATTGCTTTTCCAGGACCAAAGTCTGGGCAGGCCATTTACACCACTCCAATCTTTAAGCGTGCTACTGCTCAGCATACCTTTGCCACAGACAGGAGCACCTGCTTCCACCCGGACAGGCAGCAGTGACCTTCTCGTGTTGCCACGTGGGAGGCAAGCGGACAACATGGTACAGGTCAGAAGGCCCAAAAAGAACACAACCTTTCACGTGCTAGCCTAAAACCATTTTAA